GTCATGACGTTATTCTCCTCTTATTGATCATAGGTTTAACATCTTTTCGCTGGTCTTCCATGGGTTTGACATCCTTCCTCCTCGTGCTGCCCGGCGTTCTCTGCCTCCTCACCATCGTCCCACGTACCATCCATCACTCCCTAATATAGCTGGTTGGAGACCAACTCCACTTCTCTTCAAGTTCTTTACCACGTCTCAAGCCACATAGTCAAATTCTGTTGTTAATTTTAATTTTTATTTTCTCCACTCATCCCAAGTCACAGTCCTGGCATTGTTCTGTTTCCTCCGCTTGTCCTCAATCCACACAGACCACCGTCTCAATCCACACTCCGCTTGTCTCAATCCACAGACCACACCCCCTAGTATTGCTGCCACTGCACTGCCACGGATATGGTAATGTTTGTTGAAACTCCGCTACGTCTATATTAGATGCACCCAACTTCTCGCATTTCGTTACCTTCTTCCATCTAACGTAACGGTTTGTACTGTTGCGGTAGTCTTGACTGCGATATTCTCAACGTCTCTGATCTCTAACGTAACAGTTTGTACTGTTGCGGTAGTAGTCTTGACTGTACTCTTTTGCGTCTCCTCGCCTCCATGAATAACAATCTCCATGTCATCATCCGTGATGGGCAGGTTTATACCTCTCTCACCGCACACTCCCTTCCCGACGTCATACCTCACGAGCCTCTTTGGGATCCTCGCAAAGACTACGATAGTTCTCCCGACGATAGTAATACGCCACTCACTACTCGCTGGGCGTACGGAGCTCGTCCGTGGTTTCCCCCTTGTACCTTTGAACCCTAGCTTCGATGGGCCGATCTTTGGATGCCTCAACCACTCCAGGTTTTCCCTCCTCACAGAGGTAGATACATCGGGAAGGCACATTCTCCACCGTGATATTCGGGCAAAATGGGTCGACTTAGAGCAGAAACTGCTCTGGTGCCAGGAACGTTTGGGTGCTGGGCTATTGATTCCATGGGGGACTAAACTTCCACGCCCTCCAACTACCTATGGGTACCAACGGTGGCATACAGACGTTAACCTTGCCAAAAAGATTGCAATAAGGTCGCGCGATGCATTTCTATGTAAGTCAACCAGTTTATTCATCGTTCGTGATGCCTGACGGATTTCCAGTAATTGCTGCCACCTGCTCGTGGTACATCATGACTCGTCCGATACCAAGGTGCCAATCAGTGGACGGCTATCTTAACGAGCGACCCCCAACATCCCATACCCGCTGAATGGGTTCTTGAGTTGTCGCGCTCATTCGTTGGAGATCTGACGACAAACGTGCCACGTACGGGAGCCTTGATCTCTTCCATTCACTGTCCTTGGCAAGTTCAATTGCCCATGTTTGAGAAATTCTCGCTTCCGATTTGGGTCCGCGTTTCTGGGGATACTTCTGCCGCCGTCGATTTTACCTTGCGTCATTATATCCCGTCTCCGGCAGCTATCACCCGTGCGACCGAGGCAGTCCAATGCAAGCAGACGCCTGACACTTGGGGTCAACCGGACGATAGTGCGTGGGGTCAGCCGGATGATAGTGCGTGGGGTCGATCAGAGGACAACACTCAGAGTGTCCTTAACTGGGACGATAGCGTCCTTGGATGGGGTCAGAACAGTGGGGCACAGCCCGTGTCTGATGTTCCCGAGGCACATGCGGACTCTCTGTTCCCAGTCTCCCAACCCCACTCTAGACAGAAGCAAGGAGAAGACTTCAAGGCATTCTTTGCGCGGCGCCGTCAGGAGAACCAGAGGAAAGAGGAGATGGAAACACCAGCTCAATGGCAGTCGCGTCAGAGTCGTGAGCGGGCAGCCATGAACCACAGCATCCCCGGCAAATCCAGCACAGTTGTGGTGTTTGAATGGCAACCTAATGACGACTTTGGCGGTTTTCGTCAACGCATCCGTCTCACAAAGGCTGAGATACCAATGACTTGGATGTCATATAGCAAATCTACCAGGGTATATGACTCATTCCATAACGAGTGGGATTTGTGCGATGCATTGGATCTTACCAGCATCCCCGATGGCGATTGGGAGGAAGATGATTTCCCGCCTGCGCCTGCGCCTGCTCCTTCTGAACCCACCCCTGCTCCCCCTGCCCCTCCACCACCCTTGTCCAGTTTCTTGAAAGACATCGAAGCCTACTTCGGTCATTATGAGGTTGCACCCTCAACGCAATACACTCGTAGTGTTGAGCGATTTGTCTCAATTTTGCATTTTCATCTCGGATTTCACCTTGCAGCATCCACCACTACACCCCGAGGCAGATCGACTACATTCGATGATTGGGCTCGCAAGACACAGTGGACTCACTTATGCAGACTTGTCGGCGACAACCCCACGGATATCATGTCAATTCCAGACACACAGAAGGATGTCATCACATGTTTTATAGGTTACCTCGTCACCCTCCCTCAAACTCAGTTGTCAGACATCCCGCCCGATCTCTGGGATCTAGGACCTGACTCGTCCCTGTCAGTCTCGAACGCACACATTCGAGTTTCCTTTGTGCAACAACCCAATCAGCGGCTCTACATCATCGAGTCACTGTCGTCAAATCTGGTGCCCTGGAAACTGGCGGTTCCCGACGCTATTACGGCTGTGATGTGCCTCCGGCGTGACTGGGGCTCGGATATCACCAAGATCGCGTGTAACCTCATGGAAAAAGGAATCGCTATAAAGACGTTGCAGCCAATCTCAGTTCCACCTCACGCTCGACGCCCACTTACGGAACTCCACACATACTCGCTCGGACACGTCTTCCCCCCCGAGGATCGCAGGCTCGCCCATTTGAGGCCAGTTTTTGCTGACTACATCGTGTATGAGCAGCACCGTCACGAGTTCCTGAACCAGCCTCGCGCAAGAGCGGCACTTCTTCATGGTGGCCTCATATGGCGGCTGGCTTTACATAGTCTTGGGTTTGATGTTCTCCCCTCCGTTCTCGATGGCATTTCACGGGAAGCGGTACCGTTTGGCCTCATGCTGGACATTAATGGCCAGACTTATTTCGATGATGAGCTGTCAGAAGAGGAGATAGATTTCATGTGCGGGACGTATTATCTGCATACCAGTGAGTTTCTCTCATTTACATCGACGACAGAGGCGCTTATGTTTGAATAATCTAGACGACGGGAATGTTGAAATCGTCTCCTGGTGGCCCAGGCCCCAGGCCTGGGCTGCCTCAGGACTAAACGTGGGGTTCTGGTCCAGTCGATGTGAATCCTGGTTCCAGTTACGCCTGGGCAACATTCGACAGGGCGTTTCACGAGAGCGACATAAATTCACTAATGATGCTAATGGTCCAATGACTGGCTCGTAGTGGAAAGGCTCACTCAAATTCAATGCAGGCACCAGCAAAATGATGAAAAACGTCAACGCAGCATCTTGCAGTTTTCTTGCCACCAAAGCAAGCGGTAAGAATAAATTGGTTGTTACTTGTGCGTCTCTAATCTCCTGCTCAGCTTTTACAGAGAATTAGCACTAGCCTGTATACAAGTTGAAATGATTTTGTAAGTACATTCATTCACCTCGAGAAATCACCGGTATCTGACTATGTCATGCAGGATTGATTGTCTATTTCACTCTACTACATAGATTCACGTACATCTACTATACCATTTGAATAAGAGTGCGTTAACGCGCTTGTATATATAAGTCATCGTCTAGTCCCCTAATCGTTAACGCGTGTTTCTAACCGAAAGGCATCGCTTGTGTCTATAACTTATCATCTAGTCCCCTAATATTTAGCATCTCAAACTCAAGTGGGCGATGACATTGTAAGTGGGCGATGATTCAGCCGTGAGTGGGCGATCGTCGGGCGATCGGTTTTATCTAGAGATAAAACTTGATGATTTATTTTCACATTTTATTGTCAGGGGGTATTTTGAATTTTAACGCCCGTCTAAATGACGGTCTAAACTTCATACATGAGCAGATGTTCAGTCACGTGCTAAAATTGAAGTTTTTTCGAGTCTTAAATGTGAAGTTTCATTTCGAAGTTTATGCCAGCATTAAAGATATATTTATATTTCTTGTTGTCATTGACATTCAGACAGTAAGAAAATGTTCGCTGATACTTTATATTTCTCTTGTCATGCAAGACCTCTTTAACATTTGAAATTTTACATCCGCTAAGACGACAACCTAAATATTAAGTATTATCTTGACATTTCGCACGACATTCAAACCAGTCTTAAATATTCGGATCCCCGATGTGATGGCTGGGGTGCAGTGGTTCGCGATTGAAGGTTTCACTTCAACATTGAGAATTAATAACTTTGGCAAGATTTTGCTGTCAGCCTCCCTCTTATGAGACGAACAAATGAAAACATACTTGTTGTTCTTCATGAGCCCACTTTGCCTGTTCATCATCAGGCTCGCAATCCAGGTTTTGGTAAGGGAGACCGGGAACCACTGGGCAACGATAAATATGACTGAAGGGGAGTGAACAGTGATTTCCAAGAGGGAAAACACAGCCGTGCATGACACTATGTACCATGCATAGTAACTAGGTCATGCACAACAGCAAAAAGCGGCAGTGCGCGCCTCACCATGCATGTTCTATTGGGTTGAGAGGGGAAATACAATCATGCATGACACCACATCAGTGAACTGGTAAGGAAAGGAGAAGGCCATATATCACAATATATAGCCCATAATCATAATATTTAGCATAATTCTGTTATCGAGCATCACATTGTGATCTTTGCCCTTGTATAGCGCAAGAGTTTTCCTGATTTTGCGATAAAACTTTAC